CACGATACATTACCATGGAACGCTCTGTCGTGCACTCTGTGGAGGGAGCTTCGGTGCGACATGCCACGGGTTGTTTGGACTAACGGTAGACGCTGACGACTTCTTTGTCGATGGGGGCCCGTCACAACAACCCCGCCCCTTCATGATCCTCCTCCCCATCCCCACCCCCCTCGTAGTCCCCGCCTCCGCCCCCCCTACTTCCCGTGTGCCACGCCTTCTTCCTGCCATCCAAGCCCTCTCCGGTGACGTGCTGCAGCAGAGTCGTGGCGTACGCGCCCAGTGGCAACGAAAACGATACCCTTATCGGCGTCATGTTGCCCCCCCCCCCCCCCCCCCCCCCCCCCCNGACGTGCTGCAGCAGAGTCGTGGCGTACGCGCCCAGTGGCAACGAAAACGATACCCTTATCGGCGTCATGTTGCCCCCCCCCCCGCCCCCCGCAGCTACCGCTACTGCTGTTTCGCCACGGCCAACACCGCCGCTGCCGCCGCCGTTAGCGCCCTTGAATCGCCGCTTGACCTCCGCACGGAAGCGCGCCCGCAGCCACGCCGCCGTTATGGGGGCCGGCATCCCTCCCCTCGGCCCCCTGACGGCGCCGATCTCTTCCGCCCGAGCTCTGTCGGCGGCGACCTCGGCGTCGATGTCCGGTGACTCTGGTCCTTCTTCTTCTTCCGCTGCTGGTGGCTCCGGCTTCACGTCGAAATCTCGCGGGTGAACCTGTGTTGAATGATGTTCCGAGGGGGGGGGGTAAGGACACACGCTTGTAAGGAGACCTAGGTGGTGGCAGCGTTTGGCCACTACTGAACGAGCTGGCAGTTATCTTACTTTGTCGCAAGGAGAAGTTGTCGGAAGCGAGACGGAGTGACGCCGGACGGAGGCGGGGAGGGAAGTACGAAGACCTTCTCATTCCCCCGTCTCCGCAGGTGGACGTGGAATAGAATAGGTTCTTGTTGTTCAACTACATATCAGCAAGATATGTACCTCCACTCGGATCGATGGTACAAGGTCTCCAGGCTCGGGCGCCAGGCGCCCTCNGAAGCTGGAAAAGACGTTCACCTGCACAAGGTACTGTAGTGTGCAGGCTACAGCAGCACCCTCAATACCACAGCGTGTCGTTGACAGTATTAGTCTACAGAAGAAGACCAAAAAAAAAAACTTACTCGCAAGTTCACGATGTGCATGCAAGGCATGTGATGTTCGAAAGCTCACGACACGAAGCGAAATTGGAGATCACTTTAGAAACAGCTGTAGCGTACAATAACAACAAATAATAAAACAAACCGTGTCCAAATTCCTTCCTACAGCAGCAGACCTACCTGTTATACTTTTGCAACCTTGTCTCAGACTATTTTATAATGCAGACCAACTAAAGATTCCACGAAAAGGTCACGCTTTCACACAATATACCGACTAACCCCGACTAACTTCCAATGAATGCTCCACTAAATGCTTATGGTATCCACGGAATGTACACAGTGGTATGTATGTATCTATATCTACCGTTCACCTGTGAAGGACAGGCAAGGATATTACGTACGTACTTGTAGTGGCACAACGCGCAACAAACGTACGTATGACTCTCCATCGTTCACCTGTATGCGGTAGAGTGTGTAGGCTACGGGCAGCATCTTCAATACTACTGCTGTACAGCGTGGTCGACAGTTTCCGTGAGATGTGCATGCTGCATGTTCGACAACTCAAAAGCACAAGCCAGCTTTGGCGTGCCACAACCAAAATTAACTATCCCTGTTCAATTCCTTCCTACAGCAGCAGTAGACCTGTATTTGCCACTTGGGGGGGGGGAGGGGGGGGGGGGG